ATTGTCAACACTAAAAACCTAACAAAAGTTATGTTGGGTCGAGTGCAATTTGTAAGGTAAGTTAATGCTCAATTGACCTAAGATATGGTACTTTAGGCCCAAGACTCATTTCTCCATCTTCAAGTAGATAAAAATCATCATTTTTTATATCAAGTGATCGAACAACCATAAGTGATGCTAATGGATGTGCATTTTTCATATAAAATCATTTTAAAACTTTTTCTGTATATGTAGATTGAAGAACAAATAAAAATTTTTATTTTTATTCTTCTACTTATTTTCGACAACACATTTTTCAATAAAATAATATTTTTTATCGCTTCAATAACTTTTCTTTCTTTTCAACCACACATTCTCCATCAATTTACTATTCCAAAACACATTCTTCCAAGATAATGTGGTTCAACCACATCCTAAACAATGTTTATGGATAACAATTTTGAAATTATAGAATATTTTAAATTGTTTGGTTAATTATTGGACGGGTCTGTGGCTTGTGAGACTTGTCAAATGTGAGGTTCATACCCTTCTGCGTTTCTATTGAATTTGAGCTTTACACTGTATTATTCTCAATAAATTTTGAATTGCAATTGTGGGTCAAGAATCTAGAGGGGAGAAAATGGTGTGTCATAGTAATTTAGTGGTTGCGCAATCACCGGTTATCCTTCTTCAATCACATTATCCTCCCTTCTCCAGGTGAACCCATGCTATTTTTCTTATTTTTGAGTAGATTGGTGATTGATTTAATTGTTTAAAAATCAAGAATTGGAGATGTTGATTGAGTTCGAATGCAACATTTCCTGAAATTTAAAATCTTGGTGTACTGTAATGCCTTCATGCGCATATTTGTAATATTTGCTAGTATAATATCTATATTTCTTCATAATTGTCTTCCTTATCATCTTCCATTTAATTTCCCCCTTTTAACCTTTAAATTTAGTGGCTTCATGCAACAAGGGTACATATTTTATGCAAATGTTTTTTCTCCAATGTACAGATACATGCCTGTTTGAATCAGTTTTACTAATTTGGGAATTTTAATTTCATTGTCTTTAGGTGATGATAAAAGTCTGTCTGTGTTCAAAATTTCTTGCATTTCCGTACTGTTATCTAGTTCTTCTTGTCTAATCTACTCGTGTCAAACAGTGCTAAAAGTTTCCCATTTACTTTAGGAGAATGCCAACCAAAGCAATGCCGGATTGCTGTTCTACTCACCCTATATTGGCTAAGTCAGGAGTTAAACAAGTAATATTAGGTCTTGCAGCTTCAGTAGTCTCTCTCTCCCAGACAAATCTGGTCAGTATTATTATATTGTAGAATGACGCTTTTAATATACTATGCTCGCCTTTTACTTTCTAATACAAGGAAAAACAAGATACAGAAATTGATAACTTCTGTATATCAGTGAAAAATTGTGCCACTCTTTAGTATTTGCTTTATGCTTTCGAAACATTGCTGTGTAGGTTTGTCTGGATAGATATATTGCATAGTTTTGTAGCTTTTGATGCACGATCTTGCTACATACTCGGTAGGATTTCGAGCCTAACTGTGTTTCTCTGTGGTCTTGGATTAAGCTTCTACATTAAATCTTAATCTCTTCACTCCAAGAGCAATGATATACAAATCAAGAGCAAGCACATAGATTCACCCTGAGGCTCGATCCGCAGTTAGGGAAAAAGTGTGCAGTAAGATTATTCCACTAGTTAAGACTACATTCAAGAACGGGGTGGGTTTAAAGCGCTTGCAGAGGAAGCAGAGTATTTGGTGGAATTCGCTTTCCCATAAGAAACTAGTTCATTATAGGATGTGTTGACGCGGTAATGGAGGCATGTTAAATATTTTTCAGTAAGATATGAAAGATCTCCTAACGACCAAGAGTAAACGAAAAACAAGATTATCAATCTGAATTTATATAAATTATTCCTGAACTAATTCTGGTTCTGTTGGGCAGGCTATTGCAACAAATCTTTCTCACAACAATATATGCCACCTGGCAAGTGCTACTGACAACGTGCGAAGTCTTCCTTTTGACGAGACGAATAATGGGGGAAGTGGAATGATGATGATGATGATGAGAGGTATGACAGCTAAGAACTTCGACCCAGTTAGATACGCTGGAAGATGGTTCGAAGTAGCTTCACTTAAACGTGGATTTGCTGGACAAGGTCAGGAAGATTGCCACTGCACCCAGGTACTCCATAGCACATGATTTAGAAAAGAAAAGCAACTTTGGAGGTCAGGCACTATGTCACCTCCATGGTGTTTTTATTCTTTATCAAGTGGGGGTTTGCCAAGCCCTCCCCCTAGGCACAGGTGAAGTTATTTACAAAAAATACAAAAAAATTAAGTGGCTGGCTACACGAATCCATGAAGTTAGGGGGACAAATGAATCCACAGGGGTGATAAACAATGAATATATACTGTGATACCCATATGCATGAAATGTATTGTACATCATAAAATGGCAACCTTTATCTTTCCCAGTTATACAACCAGATTATTAGGCTGGTTGCTAAATGTATTTTGCTATTCCAAATTGCAGGGCATATATACATTTGATCTGGATACACCTGCCATCCAGGTTGATACTTTTTGTGTTCACGGAGGACCTGATGGCTATATTACAGGTATAAGAGGAAAGGTTCAATGCCTCTCTGAGGCCGATAAGGAGAAAAATGAAACCGACTTAGAGAAGCAGGAGATGATTAAGGAGAAGTGCTACCTTCGATTTCCTACATTACCATTCATTCCCAAGGAACCATATGATGTGATTGCAACTGATTATGACAATTACGCCCTTGTTTCTGGAGCTAAGGACAAAAGCTTTATACAGGTACTTCCGCACTTGACAGCCAGCATAAAACTTTCAAATTTTATGGCACGACTCTTATGTACGTAGTATGTGTTCGAGGTCTTCTACATTTTCTGAAAGCCTCCAGGGAGGATTACTATTTGAATATTCATTTAGTTACTTGGTCTATAACAATTATTGGATTTGTCATGGTTCTCAACAGGGTTAATTGGATGTCCATACGATGATTTTTCTTCATATGATAACATTTAGGAAGTATTTATTTAGCTAGTATAAGATAGGACAATAAACTCCAGGTTGATCTCCCCTGATGGGAATGCTAGAACTTTATGTCCACCTTGTTTTCCCAGAAATCATCGTGTTGTGTATTCATTGTGAGCTTAAGCATGTTTGGACAAGCTTGAAAAAAGTAAAAGTTACTTTTTTAAGTAACTTCTTGTTTCCAAACATGTTTGAATAACTTTTAAGTTAAATTTTCTCACTTGGTAATCAATTATGTTTCCTGGTACCAACATCTTAGATATATTCAAGGACGCCCAACCCGGGACCAGAATTCATCGAGAAGTACAAATCTTATCTGGCGAACTTTGGGTATGATCCTAGCAAGATCAAGGACACTCCACAAGACTGTGAGGTTATGTCTAGTAGTCAACTTGAAGCAATGATGTCTATGTCTGCTATGCAAAAAGCTCTAACCAACCAATTTCCTGATCTAGAACTAAAGGCTCCTGTTGCACTAAATCCAGTTACTAGTGTTTTTGACACTCTGAAGAAGCTTGTTGAGCTTTATTTTAAGCAGTTGTTCTGAATTTGTGTGTGTTCTTTTTTGTATCGTAAAATATAGAGTTGTCGTGTGAAGCACTTTCTCTTGTTAATGGCGATTATTCTCTCTCACTTTTTACGTGTACATGATTTGATGCATGTTTTGTATGCAATCTGTAAGATGAATCGACGTTAAATGAAAGATTTTTAGTTTTTTTTTTTTTTGGTAGGTCTATTATTATCTAATTCTTGCTACAAAATGTACTATTTTATTCTTATTTGCTTTTGCACCTGATATAACCATGATGACGACTAAAGCGGAAGAGTTGAGAGTCGAGAAGAATGATACTTTTATTTAACAAGACTTGTAAGTGATACAAGAAACAAGTCTTGCACTGTCTCAGGATTCTAATTTTGTCGATGAAATACTATTATTAACTAAGCAACATAAAGAAATATACAAGGTCCCGATGTAAGATAGAAAACTGAAGTTCTTCAACTGCTTCTTTTTTTGTTACAAAAAAGGTAATTGCTACTCATAATGAAATAAAAATTGTGGAGTACTTGTACGGGTTGAAATCATCGAGGAGCAAGCATTTCCTTTGGTAGACAACTATTGGGGTCGTTTGATTGCAACTGTGGAAAATTGGTGGAAAGAAAATATTTTACAGGGAATTGATTTGCTTAAAAATTATTTTACTGGAAATTATAATTAATTGTATACGATTGGTATAATTTTCCATGAAAAATATTGAAAGTTTGGTGTCCGTTTGACTTCGTTTTTTATGAAAATTCCATTAAAGTGATAATTTTTTCTATCATTGGGTCTAGAATTTGTTCAAATTACCAAAATAATTTTTTCTATCATTGGGTCTAGAATTTGTTCAAATTACCAAAAATAATTTGAAAAAAAATTACCTTACCGAATACCCTTCGTTTGGCTTTGTTTTGTATGGAAATCATCAATAAAAGTGATTAAAAAAAAAGATACTGGAAAATATTTACCAACCAAAACGTCAAGAATTTGTTTTCCTCAAAAAAGTGGAAAATTTGAAAAGTTAGGAAACATTTTCTCTGTAAAATTTTGCCTATCAAACACTACAAAAGTTGGAAAATATGGTGTATCAAACGAAGCCTTAGAGTCATATTCTTATCCCTTTTTACAATGTCCATAGACATAGTGCTTCGTTTCAGATCAATTCTCCGACCTAGCTCCTCGATTTCTCTACCGTAATACGCCTTGAAGAATTCCTACCAAAACACTTTCTAGCCATTAATTCTA